GGCCAACTCCAATAATCATTGTGGGTAGCCTACCCACACTGTGAGCTCTGCCTGGGCAATTATTCACTCTCGGGCTAGATTTTCTATCCTATCTCTGTTTCTAGGGACACTCATCAGCTGCTTGTATCTGAGTATTTCCTCTCCACTCCTTTCATGTACAAGTAACTGCAAGCAGATAGCAGGCCAGAAAAACAAAAAAGCTAGATAAGCATAGGATTGATGACAGTCAGAGAAGATAACAGGAAAACTCACGATTCTTATCCAGGCCCTGGCTTATCATAGGCACTCAATAAATATTTGTTGAATTGAGTAAAAAGAGTTGTTAGGAAATTTAATTAGAAGATTTTTAAGATGCCTGGCCAGTGTGTCTCAGTGGTTGAGCGACCTATGTACCAGGAGGTCACTATTGGATTCCCAGTCAGGGCACATGCCTGGTTTGTGGGCTCGATCCCCAGTAGAAAGCATGCAAAAGGCAGCCAATTGATGCTCCTTTCTCATCATTGATGTTTCTATCTCTCTCTCCCTCTCCCTTACTCTCTGAAATTAATAAAAATATATTTTTAAGGAAAAAAATTTTTTTTAAAAAAAGAAGACTTTTAAGGCTTCCTACCCTGATATTCTATAATTCCTCAGCACAAAAATGATAGAAAGTTTGGAGAAGACCCAGAAGGTATATGCTCAAACTTATCAGGAACAAGAAAGGGAAGTTGGAAAGAACTCATCTCCAGCTATGATGGATCCCAAAGGAGTAACTAGGACTGTTCCAAACTGTCACAGGCAGGATGATCTGGGATGGTCCCAGGTGATGCCCCAAAATTCCCACCAGGAGTCCAAGGAGACTAGAAAGCAATTCTCTTAGGATTTAAGATGCAGACAAGATCTGAAGTGAAATTCTAGGCCTTACTTATTTAGGGAGCCTGAGAAAGGGAGTGTATGTTGGCGGGGTAGTAATATTCTGTTTTGAGGTCCTAGATTTTATGGTTTTTTGTTGTTGTTTCTCAGTATTATAGAAACACACAGTTCAGGGCAGGAAAGCTTCCTGGGAACCCAGCCTCCAGCCCCACAGAGGAACTCCTTCTGCAGCATCCCTCACTGAAGGTAGTCCAGTCTCTGGTGGCAGGAAGCTCACTTTCTCCAGAGGCAGCGGCAAGGCTGCTGGACAGCTCCCACATGGTCAGGTTCTTCCTTCCCTTCAGTCCTGATCTCTAACTTCTACCCATTCAGGCTGCAGACACTGTGCCTACTCCCTGATCCTGGGGGCAGCTCTCCTGCTACCTGAAGCCGGGAATCACTTTTCTTCCATTTTTCACTCCTTCCAGAAAACGTCCTTCAATCCTTCAACTGCAGAGACACAGTTTGCAATCTCTCAATGTGCTGTTCCCTTGACAATACTCTCTAACTGGTCACAGTTCATAAAATAGGGCAGAGTCCAGTGCTACAGAGTTGGATGCAGCGGTCCCGGCATGGCCTGGCTTTCACAGAGCACAGTGCGACTGTTTCTTCCCATTCATTTCTAAATTATCACCACCATCTGTTTAATCATCTATTCTAGAATAGTGCCCAGAATTGACCATCAAGATAAATGGTTCCAAACTGAACTACCAAACAAAATAGAGACAGACTCACAAATAGAGAGCAGGCAGATAGCTCTTGTGGGGATAGGGGTATTGGGAGATAGAGGGATTGAGCAAAACAAAAAAAAATAGATAACTCATGGACATGGACAACAGTGTTGTGATTGCAGGGGGGTGGGATGGGTGGTGGTGGAAGAGGGCATAGAGGGGATAAATGGTTATGGATAAAATAATAATCCTATATAATAAAAGGACAATATACAAATAGACTGAACGGCAAAATGACCAGAATGCCTGTGGTCCCTTGCCCCACTGGGCCCCACCCACCAGTGGGCACTGGGGCCCCAATCGGGGTGGGGCTGCCGGCAAACTGCCCATGGACTCTCACCCCATCTGGCCCACCCCCGATGGCTGCCATTGGGCAGGCCGGCTGGACCCCACCAGTGCATGAATTTGTGCACCAGACCTCCAGTAGTAGTAGTAGTGGTAGTAGTAGTAGTAGTAGTAAAGATAAATGGTTCCTTAGATTCCAGGATCCTCTTTCACTACTTCCTAGTCCTTATTTGCTTGTCTTCTGCTGGCCTGTTCATCTCCGATGCTACCAACTCATATATTACACTGCCCTTTATGGTGACTGGTCTGTACTGGGTAGGGAAATTCCCAGGTTTTCACTAACTTTCTCAAATATCTCTTCCTTCTCACCATGAATCCTCAAGCTGCCTGGCATATAAAGACTCTAATTAAAGAATGAATAAATGCATGTCAAACGTTGCCTAGACAGTCATAGCAGTCTGTAGGGCACCCTCCACTGTCACAGGAGCCTGTTCTTTCAGTCTCCTGGTCCGTGGCCCAGAATAGAGCATTTCTTCCATCAGCATCATCCACCTAATCTAGCTTTTCATTTTCACAGTTTCCCTTCTTTCCCAAAGCCACAGCTGAGGAGGAGGGTGGCAAACACTATCTGACATGCTCTGTTCTTCAGTTTCCCTCCCCAGCCTCACTGTCTCCGGAACAATTCTGTTCTAGGTTTGGTTTTCAACAGTCCTCATATGTGAACTTGGAGCCAGCAGAGTGAGGAAGTGGCAGGGTGGGCATGACCAGTTGGTAAACTCTGCAGCCTGCCAGGTACTCACACTCCAGGTGAGCACAAGCCCTGGGAGAGAGGCAGCAAGCAACCCAGAACAGTTCTTCCCACTGAAAGTGGCAACAGGACTCCGACCTCCCACCTGCCAGAACCTAGGAGAACTTTCTCTGTTCTCAGAAGCCCAGGGTGCCGTGCTTGCGACCACGCTCTGGGAAGCAAAGAGCCTGCATCTAGCATATTCCTTCTGTGGTAATGTACTGTTTCTGCTTTTTCATGACCTTCCTCTCAGCCCCTCTTGGGTTTCATTCCCCTTCACCCAGCGGAAGTCTTTGCCTTTTTAATTGCTTCCAATCTATTATATCCCATCTCTACTTAACAAGTCAGAATGAATAAAAGTGTTCTTCCAAGTCCCTCACTTTCTATTCTACAGAAAAGATGAGCATGCATTAGCTGCAGAGATGTGATAAACATACCAAAAAGGAAAAAAATGAAACCTTCATGTCCCCAAGGATCCCAATTTCTTCTGGCTCTAAAAGAACTGAGAGTCCATTATGGGTCCCCATGAAAACTTTTCCTGTAAATTGATTTAGAAAATACCTGGTTTTATGCCTGTTCATGTACCAGGGAAAGGTGCTTTTAAGACTGCTTAGCCCCTAGATGGCTAAATTACCTAGATCAATCACAGGTTATTTAGCCTATCTCCTTACCCAAGACAGATGGGAATACTTCTGAATAAAGACCTGTACAAAAGAAGTCTCATATTCTGTTCTTCAGCTCAAAGTCTTACATACAAAGTTTAGAAGTTTTTCTTTGAATATTATCCAAATTCTTTTTGTTGGAGCATAAGGCCTTTTGTCATTTTTCTAGTCTCCAGTGACTATCATAAAGGAAAAAAGTAGATACTATTCGATGTCTATTTGTTCACTGCCTTCTTCTTGGAGCTCTTCAGGGCTCCTCATTCTATTCAACATCCTTCCAAGAATTTGATGACTGCTCTTAAAATCCCCTTTACCACCTGCCCATCACCATCCACCAGTCCCTTTACATCTGCCTCCCCTGTGGCTCTTTCAAATGTAGTGCTTGCCTCGCCTGACACCTGCTTCAAGAACTTAATCAGCATGTTCAAGAAGTAGCCAGGGCTGTCCAGCAAAGGCAGTGCTGAATATATAGCTCCTCTCTGTAACTGACTAATTCTCCTATAAAATGCAGACACAAGATGAAGATTCTGAAAGCCCTGGGCACTAATTCTTATTGCCCACACAAACACTAGCCAGGCTCCAGCCCCACTAGGAGACAGAGAACAGAGTTCTCATCTCTGTGAGGGTGCAGAGAGCCTGGGGCACCAGTCAGGAGGACATAGTCCTGGGCCCAGCTCTGCCACTGACACCCATACGCAACTTTCTCCCATCTCGACCCTGCTTCCTAAGCAGACCACAGCACGCATTCGCCTGGATTACTCCCGGGGCTGTTCTGGCTCTCACATTCTATGGCTCTCTGATTAGGCAGAGACTTCTCCTCTCCCTCCTTAAAAGACATGGACCACTACACATATATACATATACCATGCTCTTGGCATGTGTCCCTTCACCAACCTCTATGGCCAGCACCACCCAGAAACACTCAGAAACCAGGGTTTCTCAATCTGTTTATTTTACTATCATTGTCCTTACCCCCAATAAAACTTTCTATACTTTTCTCCTTAATCATCCACCCAATGAAATTTTAGTAATTCAAATATATGATATATCTGTTTACATGCTGTATGTAGAGCTGTGCTTAATGCATAAAGGAGCAAGCTTTTTGCTGCCCTCCGCACCAATCCCCCTTGGTGGCACTATTACCTCCCTTGAAAACGTATGGCCTAGATTGAGCTGAAGGCTGCCTCTTGAGTGATACAAGTGGAGTTATTTGACCCAAACTCCAAAAGCCAAAACCATATTCACAAGCCACAGGTTTTAAAAACAATCCAATACACAAGCCAGAGTGTAATCAGTCAGAGTTCCCATTTCCCCAAAGTAAACAGCAGGGGCCCCGGCTCAACCTCCCCAGGCCACGCTCCCTCCCCGGTTCCAGGTGCAGTCCTGGTCCTCTGAGCCTGGGACCTTCACCTCTGCCCGCAGATCCCACCTCCAGCTCCCACTCCACTCACAGGAATCCCAGAAGTAACAATGGGACTGATGGGAAGGAGATGAACAATGGCTGATGATGTTCCAAGAATAATTAGAATCCACGAGGGCAGAAACACCCCTGGCCTCTGCCAGGGGTGGAGGCTCATTCCAATTCCCTTGCATCAGCCCAGATGCCCTCCACCGTCCCCTGCAGGACATGCCCCTTCACCTTACCTTGGCACGCTGGCCAAATAGGTCACGAGTTTCCGAAGGTCTTCCTGTCTTATTCTGTCATGATTGCTGCGGGCAGGGAAGGTCAGGATGGGTCCGCCTCGTTTATCCCGGCCCCCTGCAGGGAGGGAGAGGGGTGAGTATGAGAAAACCAGCCAGAGAGCGTGCTGCAGAGGGAAGAGTTCCGGCTGCGTGCTGGATGAAACAGGCGGGAGCACAGTGCCCACAGAAACCTGGTCACCTCGGACAGGGGCGTGGGATTTGGCTGTGGTAACACGTGTGACCTTGGGCGAGTCTTTTGACTCCTCTGATGCCTACCTGCAAAATGCAGATGAAAATAAAAATGACCATGTTACAGGGCTGCTGTAAGGACGGATGAGGGCATGTGGGAAAGCACTTTGAGAAATAAAGCTCTCTACAAATGCGAAATAATAGTGAAGGCGGTGTAACTATTCTTATTGAGAAAGCAAGCCCTTGACAGTCTTTGGAAATTTAAGCTCCAATGTACTTCTCCTCACAGGGCTCTGTGAGGTGGGAGTGTCGGGATTAACTGACTGCCGTGGTGAGAGCCCCTGAAGCATCCAGCCGGCAGCACTGCTGGGAGGATGTAGATTCATAGAAAAGACATTGTTTTCTACACAGTCCAGGATCCGCCCCACCTGCCTGCCTGAGGTGCCACCTGTCCCTCCTGCTGGAGGAGCACATGAATCTTTATAGAAACAAGGATCCTCAAGGTCTTAATCGCTACATATGCACTGCACACACTACTCTTACAAATGCTTTCTAAATACCACGTTTTTTGGAAAGCTGGAAGGAGTACACTGAAATGATGAGCACTGCTGTTATTAGAAGGCTGGGCTTTGACATGATTGCCTTTTCTTTCCTCTCTTTTCCAAGCTTCCTACTCACTATTTACTCTTTGATTTTAAAGTTTATTTAAAAATTTTAAATTCATTAAGGGGTGGTATGATTAGGAAGCAGGGCCACGTTTCTCAGGAGAGCTAGATGAGGACAAAGCTAGGGTGCAGCAACCATGACTTCACAGGTACCGACTATCACACAAAGAAAACCTCGGCGCCCTGATCGCAGACCCCCACCCACATGCTTGTCAGGCAGCCTCTCACGCCCTCCAGAGCTGGGCCCACAGGGAATCTAATGTAGGAAGGCGGGGAGGTGCATGCCCATGCCCCTCCCCCTGTCTCCAGGGAAAGAAGCTGAAAGCTTGACCCTTGGAAAAAGGGTCTCTTGCAAGCAAAGGTAGAGCCCAAGTGTGAGCGCATGAATGTTTCCTTGTGACTGTGGGGTCCTGAAGTCACACAGGCAGAGGGGAGGCTCGACAAACAAACCCCAACCCACTCCAGGACAGAGGAGATAAGGAGGCTGCAAGGAGAAAAGGATCACATAAGATCAGGGCCACTGAGAGACTTGCTCTGACGAAAAACTACCTCAGCGCTGTCCCCTCCCCCTGCCCCACACCAGGGCAGACCTGTGTAGAGATACCAGAGCTGAATCCAGGCCCCCAGCTCCAGACCTTCCATATCGCACACCCTGGTTCTTTGTACAAATAACCACCCTCAGCTCATCTGCCTTGGAAGAGTCCCCAGCTCCCAGCTGCCTTCCAGGTAAAGAAAAGGAAGCAGAAGGACTTAATAGAAGGTTTCCTGAGAGCCAGGAGGTCCCCACACGCTCCACCTTCCCCTCCAGCTTCAACCTCACTCAAAGGGCTTTCACTCAGGTGGTGCTTTTAACGGCAACTGTTGCCTTCCTTCCTGACCGCCATGGACAGCTTAAGAGGAGAGCCATGGGAACAAGGGAGCCAAGGCTAGTCTGGTTGGCAAAGGCTAACTAAGCAGTTTGGAGGGCTGTTGGCAGTGTCCTCCCCGAGCCAGAGCCAGTTCTGTCCTTAGAGACAGAAGTTTCACAAAATCATGGCTGGGAAAGGGTCCAGATGGCAGGGGAGGGGAGTGAGGGGAGAAAGCCTGAGGCAGTGCAATCCCCTCCCTTCAGGAAGCATAGATAAGGAGTCAGGAGGGGGCAGCAGGATCAAGCCAGATATTTTTCAGAAAGAAGAGGACCTTCCAAGATTATAGGAAGAAGAGGAAGAATAAGCCCAGAGGAAGAGAATCACTATGCTGGCAAGAGTGGGGCAAGGGATGGAGCAAGGTCTCACTCAGAGCAGGTACCAGGGGAGCTGGGGTTCCTGCAGCAGGTGAATAGAATGCAAAGAGGGAGGAGGAAACGGGAAAGTACGGAGAGGGAGGGGTTCAGCCTGCATGGGGAACACAGTTCTTTAAGTGAAATAGGAGATAAGATCACCTGCCAAGGGTCAGGGAGGCTTGAGGTGTGGGGACAGAGGTGGAATGGGCCACGGTTGGCAAGTGTCCCAGAGAAGGAAGACTGGGTGTGATAGAGGCTTAAGGGAAGGTGGCAGGGTATGGAGGCGTAGTGAGGGCTCTGCTGAAAGGTCTGGCCATGGTGCCCATGCCAGGCTCTAACATGAGCCAAGGCAGAGTGGAGCCAATGCCTAGAGTGAGTGGAGCAGGGACCACTGAGGGTAGAAAACATCCTGCTGGATTATGAGCTCCCAGGGAAGAGGGAACAGCATGCTTTGTTCATCTGCTATCCATATTCTCCCAACTGACAGGGGATTGTCGGAAAGGGCCAAAGGTAAGAGCTGAAGGCCACAGGCAGACATGTGAAGGGTCAAGGTCTTGGATGTGCATGGTCATGGTAGGGAGGTGGAGGGCTTTGCTGCCAAGGAGGCTGAGCAACCACAAAGCTATAGAATTTGATCGATAACTGACATGGGTGCTAAAGTTACAGACAGGGAAGGCAGGGATGAAAAATGAGAACCCCTCCTGAAGTCACTGTGCATTAGGGCAGTGGGCCCTAGCGGTGGCAGGCAAAAGTGGCCACGTTTCAAAAAGGTGATGGAGATGGTGGCAGGAACTTCCAAAGCACCGTTCCCTTGCCTATCAAATACCTGCTGTCTATCTACTTGTACAAGGCTTTGATGATAGAAGCTGCAGGATAGGAATGTAGAGAATAAAGAGGGAAGGGTTTCTCTGATGTTCTAGAGACGGCACTGACCCCCTTCCACTGAGGCAGGGCCAGTCAGGGCTGCGAAGGAGGAGGGGGGGCAGGAGCAGGGAGAGTTAAGGCTTCCCTGGCCCAAGTGGAGGGGAATGGTGCTTATGTTTTTCTCAGAGGCGGGGGTGGGGGATCAGGCTCCACTCAGGGCAAGCAGATCAGGGTAGTTTTAGGGGAAGGCAAGAAAAGTACATCTAAAGAATCATACTAAAGTTTGGTCCAAGTAACTTTAGTTCCGCAAGATGCTCATGGACATCGTAATAATTATAAGGGGAGGAGGTTGTTCTGCAGTGTGGGAAATGTTCTCATGTGCTCCATGGATGTGTGCTTTAATAAGCACGGCAGGTTTCTAAGAGGGGGGCTGCATTATGCAGTATTTCCCAAACTTATCCGAGTGTGGAACCCTGTTTTCTCTTTTGAGGATCACTGTTGTTCCATGGAACACATTTTGAGAGACACAGCCCTAAAGCACAAAAGACTGTGCCACAGCAGCACAGGTTCCCTGGGAACCATGGCAGAGAGGGACATCGGGAGGTGGCCAAGAGGAGAGTGTGAGCGCACAGGAAGATAACAGGGGTGCAATGGACCCTGCACAAGAAGGCTGGATAAAAGGGATAGTAGGTACGGTGAGTGGGAGGCATAACACACAAAGGAAGCCAGAGAGAGGGCCAAGGGGGAGGCTGTGAATGACGGAGCAGGATGGGGCCTGGCTGGGACAAAAAGGCTCCATGAGGCAGTCCCCGATCCCGTCACACACGTGCACACGCCCACGTGCAGGAGCTGCTGGGCTGCACTGGATTATTCTAAATGTGCGTTCCCATGGCAGCACTGCGTTCCTGTACCCTGGCCCTGCCGGGGGCACAGCATGGGAGGGCGGGCACAATCAACATTTTGTTTCTCTGCTCACCGCCTGCCTGCAGTCCTTTCTACTCAGAAAGAAATACAGCTGTTGCCCTGCGTTATCTAATTCTGGGTTTTTTAAATTTGTCTTATTTTGTGTTTTGTCTTCTAAAAGCTCAGGATACAAGGAGCTTTTTTATTTGTTTTTGTTTTTTAGATGCAGGCAGTCATCTCCCTGGGGCTCCAAGCATCCTTCCCAGGCACGGAAGGACAATGGTCCCTAAGCCCAGGGGCATGAATAAGACTTACCCCAGGTGCTTGACCGACATGGGCACATGGGCGTGAGCTGTACAGAGCCTTGGTCCTGCTCTGGGAAGCATCTACCTGCCTCACGCCTGACTAGCTGCCTTCCTGGCACCTTGCTTATGGGTGCTCCTTTAGGACAACTCCCAATACTTGGGCAGCTCTTCTCTAGGGCTGGCTGGGCCCTGCCCCAGAGGTCCAGGTGAATTACAGGAGAAAAATAAACCATGAATAATCAAGCAAGAGTTGCATGTCAAAGTGTACCATGTCCACATTCATATACCCCGGACTGATGTGGAACAAAATGGGGCTCAAAGACTATGCATTTAAGCCAGGAAGGCCTCCTGGAGGAGGCAAAGTGGGAAATGACTTGGAAAGAAGAAGAGAGGATCAGACTAGAACAGCCGTGGGCAAACTACGGCCCGCGGGCCGGATCTGGCCCATTTGAAATGAATAAAACTAAAAAAAAAAAAGACCGTACCCTTTTATGTAATGATGTTTACTTTGAATTTATAATAGTTCACACAAACACTCCATCCATGCTTTTGTTCCGGCCCTCCGGTCCAGTTTAAGAACCCATTGTGGCCCTCGATTCAAAAAGTTTGCCCACCACTGGACTAGAAGAAGGTATGGGGAAGGCACTCCAGGTAGAGGAAGCACCAGGCATAAGAGAATGGGAGGACGAGGAGGATACCCAGGGGGCGAGGAGGACATCAGGTTGAATAGGCTCAGGCCATAAAGAAGAGGAAAAGATCCAATCGGGCTCCCCAGAGGGTTGTGGGCCATGTCCTGGGAGGCCAGATGATGGGCAGCAGCAGAAATTAGAGGCAAGTACTGCCCAGTGGCCTCTAGGACTTCTACTCAAGGTCTTCCCTCGTGCTCAGCAAGCACTCAGATGCAAGTTTGCAAAGGCTTTAGAGGTTGTCTTACCCCCGTCTCCACTCTGACTGAAATCGCTGACAGTGGTTCTGCCAAGGGATCAACCTGTGTTTCACTCAACAGCTTCAGGGACAGGGGCTCACTACCCAACAGACAGACAAGCACCTAACACTGATGGGACAGGTGGCTTCCTGGTAACGCTCCTCTAACAGCAACAACAATAATGAAATCCTAGTAGTAGTAGTAGTAGTAGTAGTAGTACTAATCATAGTAATACGGAATGCACATAGTAGTTTGCAAAGGCTTCCTACTCGCATCTCATACTCTGTCCTCACCTCCCACCCCGACACTCTGAATCACTGGACTTGCTTCTTCCCTCTGGTCAGGTGGGAGACACCTGCTGCTTGATTACCCTCCCCCTCCCATCCTTCCCTCCCTTCTGGCAGAGACCCATCAGCCAGGCCTGCACTGCCTGTGCAGGGAATCCCTGCATGGTGGGACAGTGCTGGCTCTTTCCCTGTGATTCTGCTGCCACTCCTTGTAGATGACCAGGATCATCCAGAAGCAAAGTCAGTCCACAAGGCTTAAGCACTTGAGCAGGTTTCTTTAAATGTGATCCTGGGCTCTTCACTTTGCCATCCCCCAACCGTGCCAGAGATTCTGATCCAGAAGGCATGCATGAAGTCCTAAACTGGCACAGAGTGGTGCTGGTGCACCTTAGTTTGGCTTCAATTACATCAAGAATCGCCACACTTTTTCTTAAAGGGCCAGACAGTAAATATGTTAGGCTTATGGCCATCTATCTCTGCTGGAAGTATTTCTCACTAGACTTGTCCCCAGACATACCAGGCCCTAATCCCTGGGGACTGTGAATGTTACCTTATTTGGAAAAAGAATCTTTGCAGATGTGATTAAGTTAAGAAACCTGCAATGGGAAGATTATCCTGGGTTATCAGAGTGGGCCCTAAATGCAATCACAGGTTTCCTCACTGGGAGGCAGAGGGAGGTCTGACATAGACAGAATTGCAGAAGGCACTGTGAACATGGAGACAGAGATGGGAATGATGCAGCCACAAGCCAAAGAATGCTGACAGCCACCAGAGCTGAAGAGGCAAGAAACAAACTCTCCCCTCGAGCTCTGGAGGTAGCATAGCCCTGCCGATCCCCTGATTTTAGCCCAGTAAACAGATTTTGGACTTCTGGCCTCCATAACTGTGAAAAAATAAATAAATTTCTGTTATTGTAAGCCATCCAGTTTCTGGCAACTTGTTATAGTAGCAAAAGGAAATTAATGCACTGCCTAAACACATTCACATGGCTGCATTCCAATAAAAGTTTATTTAAAAAAAACAAATACAGGTGATTGGCCTACAGGCTATAGTTTGCTGACCCCTGAATTAGACTTTAAAAGGCCCAGGTGCACAAGATGGGTTGGAGAGAGATGCCAGAATTAAATATTTGGAAGTCACTATTCAGAAAAATAAATAAATAGATGCAAACACTCACTTGAGTGCCCTTTGCCAGGAATGAGAGATAAGAAGGAGACAGATAAAAAGGATATAGAGCTCAGTGGATTGAGCATCATCCCATGGACCAAGAGGTCCCAGGTTCAATTCCCAGTCAGGGCACATGCCCAGGGTTGTGGGCTCAATCCCCAGTAGGGGGTGCGCAGGAGGTAGCTGATAGATGTGTCTCTCTCATCTCTCTCTCTCTCTCTCTCTCTCTCTCTCTCTCTCTCTCTCTCTCTCTCTCCCCCCTTCCACTCTCTCTAAAAATAAATAAAACACTTTTTTTAAAAAAAAAAGGAGACAGAAAATTTTTATATCCTGTCCACGACCCATTCAGAGATGAACCAAATAAAACCTCTGGGGATTATGACGTGGACAGACCCCTCCAGCTGGAGCCTCTCTCTGAGGGGCTTCAGTGGCTCCTGTGGGCCCCATGGGCCTGGGAGCATGGACAGGGTGAGGTGTATGTGTGTTGGGTGGGGTGTGAGGTGGGGGGCACCCACCTGCGGTTGTAAGCATCCTCCAGAACACCCAGCTGGGACCAGAGCTCCCCCTTCTCTTTCTGCCTCCCTCTGTAGAGAGGAAGCAGCTGCTCCCAGCATCCATTCCATCTGCACTTCTCTCCCACTAACCCACAAAGAAGCGAGTGCCACACATGTGCACACACACACACACACACACACACACACACACACACACAGCTTCTCTGGGCCCATCGCAGAGAAAAGTTCCACAGACACTCACCGGAAACGAAGGCCACTTTTTCCTTTAGGATGGGAAGGACATCAGAAGCTTTCAAACCATCATTCCGAAAAGAACCTGTGGGACAACAAGACAGAAGGAATCAGGGTGAAAGAGGCCAGGTGGCGGGGTCCCTGGGCCCCACCTTCAGCCTCCCAGCCACACCATGGGCCAGAAAGTCATGTCTTGTTCAGGCCCTATAGCCCGGCCCAATGGAACAGGAGAGGGTCCACTTCTAGTACCAGCCCAGTGTCTGGTACACAGCAAATATCTACTGAACAGAGTCATTAATACCAAGAGGAACCACAATGCCTTAAATAATTCTCTTTGCCTTTCCTCTATGTGGCACAGCAACTTCATTCTTTGAACAGAGAAAGGAAACCACAAAAAAATGCCCACATGGAAAGCGAAGTTGAATGTGATACCCTTCTCCATGCCTCTCTCCCTCCCCTTCAAAGTGGCCATCGTCAGCCCTCAACAAGCAGGGGGTGGAAGACACCAATTTCCTGGGAAGAAAATGTATTCCCTTCTTCAGCAATTCGTTCTCCGCTTACATCCTGCTTCTCTGTTGAAAAGTCCTTTCTGGGGTCTAGTTGAGTTCCTGTTAGGGGATTGTAGGGAGAGGCACGGGGCTCACACTGAATGGAAGATAACCATGTGCCTGGGGAAACAGTAGCCTCAGGAGGCAAAGGACAACTCAGCCAGGGGTGAGATGCAGGGGATGGGGGAAACCAGCTTCCACACACACCCAAAACCCCAGGTCAACCCGCGGTGCCACTGTCATTAAGCCTGAGTACCCCAGAAGGAGTTTCCGGGAAAGCCAGCCCACATCCAGGTCTCAGCTGTGTGTCACCACAGGGGACATGGCACAGAGGGATCCCGGAAGAGAGGCAGCTCTGTGTGAGCTCAGTGAGACAGAACCAGAGCCCACGGACACCCCCTCGTGCCTTTCTGCTCCTGGCTTACTCTCCTGCAGCGGAAATATAACCATCTACAGAGGAAGAAATGTGCTGGGCAGGACAGTCCCACTCAGGGCTGTCTGAACCCATAAACACTGACAAGTTCAAGAGATCCAAAAATGTCGGGGATTTTGACAACAACGGGGATTAAGATCACTGGCCCAGGGAAGGGAAATGAGCCCGCTGCACACTCAACCAAAGAACAGATGTGATATATCCCCCAAATGCCAGTTGCCTGGTCAGACGGCATACCCTAATCCAAAGCAAAGTTCCTATGTGTCTCTGATAATTTCACCTATTTCTTCTTGTTCATTTTTCACTAAATGAAGACAGTGAGCCTTTTCATTTATCAGTTGCTTTTCTTTACAAGTTGGCCTATGGAGTTACCCGATGCTGGAGTAACCCACTGCAAGGCTCACTTTAAGAAACCGTAGGCAATGGAAAAAAATAACAGCATAAAATTCTAAGCCTTGTTTTGTACTTTCTACCCTTAGTTTCTATAGATCTTTATGCTCTGATTTTATCGTTCAACACAGAAAAGCTATTAAACCTCACTAGTAGGAACCAATTGGGATAAATTGTTATAGAAATAACAAATAGATACGCAGGTTGGTTTATTTTTACCCTCATGCAATGAGGACAAGTTCCAGCTTCCTTGGTGAGGAAGCATTTTATCAGGCTTCTCCAACTAGACAAGGATCATCTTTAATTAATACATGAATTGTTTGTGTAAAAGGATGCGTCTGCATCAAAATAGAGTATTTTCATATAGGAAATGTTTTTCTATACATCCGTTTTAAAACATTCTCCTCTACATCGACAAACACACTATTCATTTCTATACAACAGTGATTTTCAACTGATATGCCACAAGAATTTTTAAAACATGCGATACCTGACTAGTTAGTCAGGGGCACTGACCTCTTTTCCCTTAGATTGTCAAATAAAAAAAAATGACAGCAGGTAATACAACAATAGGCATCTGGGGTGAATGAATCAAAATTATACCGACTTTTCGTTGAATCAGCAAAAAAATACATTTTTTGGTGTGCCCCAGAATTTTAGTAATTAGTTTATGTGTGCCATGAAATGAAAGGGTTGAAAATCACTGATAAATAAAGAAATTTAATATAAAAATCTAAACTTCAGCCTTGTCATCTTCCAGATTATTTACAAGTTCAAAATTAGTAAGGCCCCAATTAATGAGATTTTACAGTATAACAAGAATCCACATAACCCTCTTCTCCCCTAAACTCCTGTCTTATTTTTCCACTGCTCTTCCTCTCCTCCCCTACTGTGTTAAAATATACAAGAGAACTCTAATTCCAACACAGCCCCAGGCCTTAAGGAAGAGTTCGGAATTTGCTGGAACAGAAGCAAAAGGTTCCCCATCCTACTCCTTCCTCATTTCCACCCATGGAAAAGGAGAGGGAGCTCCAAATCTCATCTTCACACTCCACTCATCATGCCCACCACTTCCTTCTCCCCTCCAGGCTCCAGGACCCTAGAGAAGGGAGCAGCTTGCAATCATGGGCTCCACTACATGTCAGTATCTTGGGATGGGCTGGTCTAAGGTTCCTAGGGCTTCCTCTCTCTGGGCCAGAGTGCTCCCCATCCAGCTCAGACCATTACTGTGCTATCTGCCAGGCTGTACCACCATAAGAAACCCTAAAATGTCCAAATTTACAAAATCCTTAATTAGGGGATGATCATTTCCAGCAACAATAACAAGATTTTTCACATTACAAAAGGAGTTGCTCCGGGGTCTGTTTAAATAAAAGCTGCCTGAGTGGTTTAAATTAGTTTTTCATTTGCCAGAATTGAATTACAAATACCTTTTCAACAATATATGTATTAGGTAAGGCCAAGTAGAGCTAAATTAATTAGCCCAGCAGCTCAGACGTTGGTGACCTCACATAGAAAACCTATTTGCACTGGCTGAAGATCCTACATATCAATTCCCCCAGGACCACTGTAAAACCAGCTGTCAGAATCTGTAATAAAGGGGAAGTTCATTGAATGCTGACTCAAACAGGACGAATCAAATAGCGACATGTTTTCACTACCAGGTACACGTCTGGTCGGACTTCTAGTAAATGGTCAATAAATATTTGATGAAATAATAAATAAGTGAATGAATTGTTAACCCTTCCTAAAGTGACTTGCACAAGGTCAATGGCCTCATCCGTCACACCAAGCGCTGGTGATCTGAGCAGATGATCTCCAGAGTACCACTCAGCACTGAGACTTTCCAAATCTCTTCTTCATATTCATTAGCCTTTAACATCCTCAGATGATCAGATCAATATGCTTTGAAAGGAAGTACTGGGAACAAATTCCCTAATGAGATTCAGTGTACTTTCTGAAGATAAAACAACTCTTCCCTAGCCTCCCAGCCCATTCTTCCCCAGGAATCAGGTTAGGGATTGTGATGCTCAAGATACAAGTTACCAAAATGGGAGACTGGTGATGGAAGACATTCTGTGAGGCAGACCTGAACCGCGATTGCGACCTCTGATATAAGGTATGTTTGCTAGCACAGATTATAAATTCTAGACCAACCATACACCAGCTTCCCCTTTAAATAAAAGTCTGTTGAAACAGCAGGCCCCTTGCTACCCCTAAAGAAAGCCTAAAAAGAAATATAAGCCCCTAACCCCTTGGTGTTACTGTAAGGGCACCCTCATGGACGTGACCCAATGTGAGGATTGTGTTTTCTCTTAAGGACAAAGGCATGCTCCGCGGCGTTCAGCGCCAATCCCACACCATTCATGTCCTGCTGCTGGCAGAATTACCAGCCTGCTGTTCCCGTTAATTAGCCAAGTTGAAATGCTCTGCATCTATTGGGGAAGTAAAGATTGCTACTGCCATCGCCCCAGGATCTCCAGCATGGGTCTTCTCCAAGCCCCACTTCGGCCTATGCCTCGCCCCAAATGTGTTCCGCTTACATTGCTGCTGCTTGTTCCTCTTCACATTGTCCTGTCACCATTCTCCATGACACACAATGCCAGTCATGCTCACACTGGCTCCCAGCCTCTCCGTGGCCCCATGCACAACAGCAGGACTGGTGTCATAGTCCCTGTCCACGGTTTTGTGGCTCTGGGATGGCAGTGGGTCCCCAGGACAGCTGGGTGCCTTGTGCTCCATGCTAACTTCCTCCAGAAAGCAATCCCAATTTCAACAAGTGAAGAAACAAACAAGTGACGGTTGGGCGTGTGGAAGTGCAAGCTGCCAGGACACCCATGGCTTGCTCTTTACTTCCTCTGGTTTTCAGTCACACTCCCTTACTTTGCACTTACTTAGAAGTTACTGTGTAAGTGTTCTAACGTTGCTTCAAGTGGGCCTGAACCCCGTTCCACCACTGAGATGGTGAATTCCCCAATGCTCAGGTCTCTGCCTCCTTTTCCCACTCTGTCCTTGTGGTGTCCAGCATGGAGCCCCCACCAAAGTAGCGCTGAAATACTGACTGGTCTGCCACAAGGAAGAAACCTGGCTTACAGTGGAGAGAAGTCCAAGAGCCCGACAGGCCAAACCTTGGTTTGGGCTCAATTCGGACAGTTTTCTATTCTATTTCTATTCATTCTTTCACCAATTCCTTATTAAGCACTAGGCCTCCTGTTAGGCTTTGGTGATACTAAGACAAATAAGGGATAGACCCTGCTCTCCAGGGGGCTTGCAGGCAGAGACAGACAGGTATGTAGAAAGGATAAGGAGCTATTATCAGATAGGGCATCACCCACAGAGATTACAAGGGGGCTCAAAAGAAAGACTTCCTAAAGGTGAGTCCTACAGCCTTGCCACTCAAAGTAATAAGCATCACCAGCCAGCGAGAACCTTGCTAGAAATGCAGAATCTCTGCCCGGCTCAGGTGAGTCAGTGGTTGAGCATCAACCTATGAACCGAGAGGTCACGATTCGATTCCCGGTCAGGGCACATGCCAGGTTTCGGGCTTCATCCCCAGTAGGTGGTGTGCAGGAGGCAGCCAATGAATGATTCCCTCATCATTGATATTTCTATCTCTCTCTCCCTCTCCCTTCCTCTCTGAAATCAATAAGAATATATTTTTAAGAGAAATGCAGAATCTCAGGCCTCACTCAAGACCTGTCGACTCAGGAACCT